CGTCATGGTCACCTATAACACAGTGGAGTAAAACAAGAATATAGCTGTCAGCAAGTACTGTAGCTAGACTGTTTGAATCAATGGCACATTCCGTACAGGGCCTCTTGCTCCTGCATTAAAAGCAGGGGAGGGTACAAACCAAATCCAGCTAGGACTGGAGCTGCAGGCAGTCCACGCTTCGTGAGGGGAAACAGGTCTTAAGCCATTTCTGTTAAGTGCTATAGGATCTAAATCGGAATTCTGTGGCTCCTGCTCTATTTTAATTATTAAGAAAAACAAATGCTGCTTCTACTGCACTTTGGAGTTTCAAAGCACTCTGTAAATATTAATTAGTATCTTAATACATCATCTTTCTCTGGTGCTCACCTGTGGCCATGCATGAAAAAATTACAAGAAGATTACAAAAGATTATTATTTTAAATACAACCTAAGGAACTTAAACCAGGCAGAATGGGCAAGAGAAAGAGATGGGGAAAAACAAATAGCTGCAAAACTAAGTCACAAGCAGAGATAATACCAGCTTTCTGCCCAATGGCCAGAGTTGGAGCATAAAAAGTGGCATAAAACAGCATATTTTCCCCTTGCAATATTTACTCCACAGCCCTTGGAGAACATCAATTCTAGAGTTTTGCAGTAGTGCACAAAGATCTGGGCCTCGCAAAGTGCATCCCAGGATTGCCTGCTGTCCTCTAGAACAGCAGAACCCAAGACCAAATGAAGGGTCCACAGCTGTTTATTGCTAGTGAATTCAACAGCCACTAATTTATATTCACCTGTCAAGAAATATGCAAGTGGAAGCAAATATTATGGTCATGTTCATTTGTTTCTGATTACAAAATATATGTAAATGAATATGCAAAATAGGCACACCCATCAGGCTCATGGCAAAATGCCAAATTAGCCCTTAGTATTACAAAGTTTGGAGTGTCTGGCAGGGAAATATGGTGATTGCATATGAGGCTAGGCAGTCCCTTTAGGCGCAGCCAAAACTGGGCTGCTCCAAAGGGGCAGGTGGGGGATAAATCCTGCAGTAACTTGTCTCTTTAAACGAAGCTGAGGGGCTATAGAAAAATCTGTTCCTGCTGCAGTTAAAAGTGTGATAATTACAGAGCAACGGGCTCCTCTGTCATTCAGCAGGCAGCATCCCCAGGAAATCTTGCTCTGTAATCAAGGGAAGAGGTGCAATCAAGCCCCTATTCAGGCTCCGTTTAGAAACAGCCCCTGCAGGCAACACAAAGGCTTCAGCACGGTGCTTTGTGAAGCTGGTGATCACATCGACGTCTTGGCTCTGCAACTACAAGAGCGAGTGTCATTTCTAAGCATATCTTCTGTTCACCTTTCCTCACAAAGGCCGAAGAGGGCTAGGGAGAGGGGTGAGGTCTTGGACCAAAATACTCTGTACCTGAGGTGGAAATATTCTGTACATGAAGTGTGGCACTCACACTGCCCACATTAGCGAACTCACCCTCTTCACCACAATTTCCGAGGAAGAATTTCTTGCAGACTAAGGAAGACAGTGTGATCCTGAATAAGCAGATATGAACACGATCATCTGGCTGCTACAGCAGCACAGTTTTCAAAATTTGCATGGGGAAAGTTTGGGGCATTTTTGGTTGGTGGGTTTTTCTGTGGTTTTTTTTTTGTTAGGGTTTTTTGTTTGTCTGTTTGTTTTGTTGTTGGTTTTGTTTTTATTTTCCAGTGACACAAATATCTGTGCTGCTCAAATTCTACAGGAACCTCATTCCCTTGGCAGCAGCCTGATCCCACAGAGACTCATGAGGTTTATTAGAGGGGAAGGTGTCTCTGACTTGAGCTTTCATGTCTAATGCCACCATTGCCCAGAAACATACAAATTAACTGCTACTCAAATCAGCCATCCTTTGTACCCCACAGAGCTGTCAGATTCAGTGAAGCAGTTTACTCCAAGTGCAATAAAAATAGTATCACATTTTATTCAAAGCAGTCAAACCTTCTGAAGAGTGCAGGAATTTGCACTCCCACTGTGTACGCTCAGACACAGAAATCGTACTTCTCATGGGCCAGCAACGATCCGCTCAGCTGCCCGTCTGGGCATGAAGCTACCGTGCCATACGCCATCCTGGTAACTCTGGATGCACATTAAGTGCCAAATAGTTCTTTCTGCATGTTGGGGGCATATACTGGATAGGATTTACAGTTTTGTCTCAGTCTGGAATGGTTGTTCTCTGCTGAGGTTCACCATAACTGGAACTGTCCTTTGCGTGACAGTAACCCCTAATACTGTAAATGGAGCCTCATTCCAACGCAGTACAGAATTGGCAGGTTCCACTCCCTATTTATTTTTTATTTCTCTGGCCACAGAATAAATGAGTTTGCTGTAGTTTTACCATCCGCAGACATAGGTATCAGTCAATAGCCAAGTAATGGCCTGCATACTGTCAAAGAGAACTCATTATTAAAAAGGTACATATTGCATTTAGCAGTTCAAACACAAGTCGTTATTGATTGGATCCCATCAGTTCCCAGTAAAAGAGCCAACTCCAGTGACAAAGTGAAAATACGCACACAGACTACAGACTAGTAAATACTGTAATGGAGTTCATGATCTCCTCGAAAAGGGAGTTGTTGATATCCAGTTGAAAGAGCATACTGTTTGCAAAAAAAAGAAACTGGAAATAAAATAAGCATGTTACTTCTGCAAATACCTAGAGGCAGGATAAGGAAGCAAAACAAAAGGGAACAGTTCTAACAAACACCTCAATCTCCTGGGGGTCAAAAAAAAAAGCAAACAAAGAAAATACAAGCTGATAATGACCAATCAAGCCAGAGGCAGGAAGAGCCTGAATCCAGTTCTGCCATTCCTACCACATCATACTGTTCCATCAGTGGTGGTTCTGCCACACTCAGAGAATTGAAAAAGACGTTCTTTGGAGTTTGCTGCTTTTTCAAAGACAAATAAAAAGGCAGCTGCACTTAACTTCATTCTGGTTCGTTTCCTTGCCACTTTGTCTGCTTGTTTCCACTTACTAACAGCTTTTTCTCCCATCTTTTCACAATCTGAACAGGCACCGTAACATTTTGGGATGACAGCATTTAACACACAGAAATCATCACTGCTGCAGCATAAAGTAGGCAGAAAACAAGACCGATTACAAAATTCTAACAAAAAACAAATACACACCATGAAGTAATAACAGAGAAAACTGAAGAAATGGACAAGGTTACGACTCTGTGGAAGTCTCTGGATTTGTTCCATTGGAGAAGGTCTCTGCACAGCATTGTCTGCATGAGTGAACAGACCACAGCTAGCAGAGAGTTAAAAATGTTCACTGAAAAAGGTACATCCTGACAAACTTCTTTGCTCACCCTTAATAGAAGGTTGGGCTGGGAACTGATGAATCACTATAGGAAACAAACAGCAGTGGTGACGCATGGCTTCAAAAGGTAACAATAGCACTGCTTGTTCCGTGATGTCTACAAAAGAAATATCCCTGGATTCATGAGAAGATGCATTTCATATTGCTCCACCCATCCAGGAAAAGCAGACATTCCACCACCCAAGCCCTGGTTAGAGCTCTCACAATGGCCCCACAGGTACGTGGAAGCCTCACTCGCTTGTTCTATTTTCTCAAGACGCTCAATGAAAACCATATGCTGCTCATGTCTTGAGCAGCTCCCCATGGAGTCTGGGTCCCTTAGCCCAGCAGCAGAAAGAGCCTTAAATCTTTGTTTCAGGGTCCATATGCTTGTGTGGCTCTTGCAATCTTCCCAGAACTGGCCCAGCTATTGAAGTGCCTGGTCACATCCAGCAGTCTCTTCAGCTCCACACAGTGTCATAACCTCAAGCATGGGAAATAGCTCTGGCTCATTACTGATTTGGACTTGATCTGTGTAGAGCAAATAGCAAGGAAGAATTCTGGTGTTCCACACTTCACAGGCTCAGGCCTCCTATCTATTGGTCATATATTGGTACTGTAATATTTGGATGTAAAACCGAATTTTCCATTATCATTAAAAGCATCTTAAAATGAATGCATATATGGATGCCATGTTTATTTTCCAAACCTTCCCTTCCTATAAAAACATGTTTGCTTCTCCATCTATACTGCAAATGCAGAGCTGTATTTACATAGTATTTTTGTACGGCTTTTTGTTAACATGTCAACAGCATAGGGATTTCATTTTCAGCACTTATCACATTCTACATAGTGAATTCCAGTTAATCTATTTTCATTACCAAAAGAAGTAAATAAATGCTAGTTGTGATAACATATTATTGCAAGTATTTGCATTTTGAAAAATTTCAGGTTTGGGGGTTTCTGTGTATGTTTTTGTTTTTTCCCTTGACATTAGACACTTGTTGCCCAGGTTTCATCTTTGGCTTAAGCTCAAACCGTTGTGTTTAAATTCAAATGTCATAAAAAATGCGGTAATGAGATTCTCAAATTCACATAATGATTTACAGTCAATTAAAGTCCCTTGCACATACACAGTTAACAACCATCACAATGCTAAAGACCAAGGGAAAAAAACTGAAATACACTTCATCATGTGGTTTGCATGGCTTAAAACTTCTGGGCTCAAATTGTAAAAGAGAGTATGAAACAACACAGAAACACTCAAATCTCTCTTCCCTTTGCAATACTAAGATCATTCAGCAGGTCCCAAAGCAATTTAATCAAGAATGCTAAAACAGTCAAGGTGCCATCCAGTGATTAGTATGCAAGCAGCTGAGGGGGAGCATGGGGCTTCCACAGGCTAGGAACAGCTAACAACAAAGATGGCCTAACTTTTGCAATGTTCTGCCAATCAGATATGTTAGACATACATACATGGCTCCAGTTTACAAACACTTCACTCTTTTCAAGGAGATGGAGTAGTGGAATTGACCCAGATAGCTAAGATAACTTCTTATCACTGCTTTTACCAATACCAACATAGGGTACCCTTTGTATTAAACCTGCTATGTGATGAATTAACTCTTTGGGTTATGTAAAGATCACTGAAAAGGATTCTCTTACCTTCAGAACACAGCTTGCCAGCATACCCAGTGGCTGAGCAGTCACAATGTGGCTCGCCATCCAGAAGGAAGCAAGTACCACCATTTTCACAGGGGTTTTCTGCGCAAAGCCCTTCCATTTCTACTCGGACTCCTTGACTGCCCAGGAGCTGCGGCTCAGAGTTGCCGTATTTCAAATCCAGGATAAATCCTTGAAATGGAGGCTCACCCAGAACACCATCAAGGGTCAAGGCAGCTGGCCGGATGTCCAGTGGGACTCCACCAACAAAGAGGTCACTGACGATATTCATGTACTGGCGTTGTGGACGCACCTCACCTGGCTTGGCTTCACCATCCAGCACTAGCACTGTCCGAAGGTGATTGCGGCTTACCATCAGGAAGTGCCAGTTGCTGTCATTGACCTGCTTGTCTGTGATAACTGTAGTCTCCGCACAGTCCACACTGAATTGGAGTTGGATGCGCCCATCAACAAGGGACAGACAGAGGAAGTCACAGACACCACCATCATCAAAGTAGAGGAGCAGCCCAGCAGAGACGTTGGTCTTGAACTGGAAGCTGAGTTCGCTCCTAGTGCTGGCATCCCAGCGAAGGTAGCGGGCCCACTGGTTGGGGATGCCCATGAACTCCAGACCCAAACAGAGACCCAGCAAGGAGCCTAGCAGCAAACTCACCTTCAAGGTGAAGTAGACAGAGTGTAGAGTGAAGCCCATTGTTTCAAGAATCTGCTCTTCCCTAGGAGAAAAAAGCTACGCTACTGGCAGGAGAATACCAGAAGTACACACCAAATGTTAAATCCAACAGGAAGAGAAGAAGAGCACAGAGAGTGACAGGGAGAAAGGAAGAGTAAATGGAAAGTGAGACAGCAAGTGCACGTGACCAGGAGGAAATGTCTTCTCTCCAAGGAAAGATCTCAACTGTCCTTTAGGATCCAGAGGCTTTTATCTCAGAACTACAGGGTATATGAAGTGACTTCTCCAGCCAGCGTATTTTTGCGAAGGGCCAAATAACCCACAGTGATTTGTTTAGGTAGAACACAAAGGTGACACTGGTTGTTCCAGGGAGGAAGGAAAAGCAGAGCTGAAGCGCAAGCCTCAAATTCTGGTTTCCTAGAAATGATTACAATATTGACAGAAGTGGTAGCGAGATTGAGGAGAGAGTGAATTCATAAAGCACGTGATCCTCAGCAGGGCAAAAGTAAAGTCAATCTTCATGATGCACTGGTGGCTACCCAGCCCATAATTCACTGCTTGGCACTCACAGAGCTCGCAGGACCTGTGGGATCAAGAGAAGAAAAGAAAGGGAAAAGTTAGTCCTACTACTCACCATCTTTACCACAAAGCTGATTACCTTAGTAACTCATTTATATTTCTTGACACTCTGGCAACTTCTTCATGCCTGCAGTTGGCTATACAGTCCTCCAAAGCAGCAGGTATATCTATGTCCTCAAAACTAAGAGGACCAAACAGAGAACACACCAAATGATCTGCACACACCATAATGCTGAGTAATGTAAAAATATACCAAATTATTTAACTCCTTTGATGGATGCAATCTCATTGACTTTACTGAAAGAAATGGTGCTGAAGCTTCCCTGGTAACAACTACCTCTCAATGAAAATGTTTAGGGCAAAGACCGAGTTCCTCAGAATTTAAAAATCAATACAGGGCAAGACAAAATTCCCATTCCACTCCCTTCACTGTGCTCTCTAGCACACCAAGCAAGCATTAGAGAAGACAACCCTGCTGTCAGCCTTTCGTGCAATAGCTCCTTTTACTTTATGTCTCGAACACTTCAGAGGCTCTAACACAGACCTTTGCAACCCAGAAACATGTGCTATGCAAATTATATATGGGAACCTGCAGCTTAGATGATAGGAAACTTGTTGCTTAGATGATAAGAACTGTCTAAGCACTTAACCGCTTACCCTGGTCTAGTGGTTTGGCAAAAAGGCCAAATTCACCCCTTGCTAACAGCGAGCAATTGCAATTGCCTTCAGTGAGCAGGAGTTACATGTGTTAGCACTGGGATTTAATTCACTTCTGCCTATTTGCATGTGGGTGACTGTATGCCTGGGGGTAGGAGGATGTTTTAAGATGACAAGTAAAGACAGCAGAAAGCTAGGCTCATTCTTTGAAAATCCTGCTTAAAATGAAAGTAAGTTTTCCATTAACACGGGTGCTTGTTCACAGAGATGGGTTGAGAACAGGAACAGCTCTGGGAACGGCTAACAGTAGCACAGATAAAAAGCAGGAAAGGAGGTGATGAAAAAAAATCAAGGCCTTAATCATCCAGAAACCAGAACGAACACAGATTTCACAAACTGGATCACAAATATTGTGAGATAGTATTTGTTTGGGAAAAGTGCTTTGTGCTGTGGACAATGGGGAGTTGCTGGGGCTGTCATTGCTCCCAGCAGATGCCTTTCAACCCCTTGCCCACCTTGCTCTGAAGGAGAAGGCCCACAGACACTGCAGAAATGGGCAGTGCAGAAGAGTTTCTGTTGGGTAAGGGCTGAGGCTGAGCTGGAGGGGAATCACTACGCAACGGAGGGGAGAGTTCACATAGTCAGTCTCTGCCCTACCTGCCCCAGGGACCTGCAGACATCTCCAGGGCTGTCAGTCTGGCAGATTTAGCCAGCACAAAAAACAAGTCACTTTGAAAACAAAAGGGATCAATTAGAAGAAAAGCCACAAGGCTGGAGAGAAACATGAGCTGTCAGTGCCTAGTGGAAACCAGGCCTGTTCCCTGCAGCTGCCTGAGTGGAGTGTGTTAGCTAAACTGCTATAAACACAAATAAAATCAAGTGAAAACTGGAGGGAAGATAATTCCTTTTAATTGTTAACAGCTTGGCTCGGGAAAATGGAAGGAGGAAAAAGGAGGTGTTAGGAGAGGTGTGAAACCAAAAAAAGATAAAAATCCAAATGCTCAAATCATCTGTCTGTCCAATAATCATGATGTTGGCTCAGTTCATGGGGTTTAGGGGAGAGTTTTGAAAATCAACGGGGAGAGAAAAAACAAAACATGTGGCTCTTGTCCATTTACCTCTCTCCTGGGTGCTCCCTAGTGGCTCTACTAAAATAGTCTGTGATTTATGGAGAAGGAGAACACAGTGAGAGGGAGGCAAGAACCAAAGTAGTGACCCAAGCCTGGAATTATTGATGAGATGGGAATACAAATATAATAATGTGTATAAATTTGCCAGTGATGTGCTTCCAGCAGCTCACAGTTCCCTGGAACATTCACCACCACCGTAGCAAAATTCACTGTTCTATCAGACAGCTCTGTGTTTAGCCTGAGCTGGGGAGGGAGGCAAGCCCAGCATGGCACCAGCCACCCACAGAGACCCGAATACAGAGGAGCTCTCACCACAGCTTTCAGTTCTCCTGGGCAGCGTGGGTTGCACCATCAGCATCAGAAGTAGCCCCCAGCCTTACTACTTTTCTCTCCCTGTTTTAGAAGACTACCTCATTGAGAGCCAAGGAAAGATGCTGTAAATCACAGCAGCAGGTGTGAACACTCTATAGATAACCACAGAGGAGATGCCTATGGTCATGTACAACCCAAATGCCTGTCCAAAAAGCTTGCAAGTCTCTCCCAACTCCAGGCTGTTGAAACCCTGGTTTCACATAGACAGAGAGCCCAAAGTCTCCATAGGTTGCTTCAATCCACAGTGAGGAGGCTACATCTCTGGTACAGATTTCTGTAACACTGATACGTGTTCATTAGGAGAGGACAAAGGCCACAGTTAACAAGGAAAACCAGGCAGAAACTGTTAGACAGAAACAGAATTGGTGACTGAGGGAAGCCAAGGCAACCTCTCTCCACTTGTTTTGATTGAGAGGAGCCAAGGTAATCCCTTTCTAGCTGTTTTGAAGAAAGAGAGTGACAGTTCTGTTTTAGAAAAGTAAGACAACACAAACCCCCATGAAATATAAGTGCCACTTCAAGTAGTTCATTGCCTTTTAGACATTGAAGCTCAGGTTCTGGGAAAGCTGCCCACAACCAGCCACCAGCAGACTGGGGCCATCTGAGGCTCCTCCAGAGCTCTATCAGCACCCATCAAGTCCTGACCCACGGTGATTACCATTATTCCAGTTTTGTGTCTCCTGCAGTTCAGCCTGTGAGAGCAAAACTCAGCACATAGTAGCACGGACTTCAAGAAAGTCTCAGTGTCCTTCCTGGATCTGAATCCCAACCTTGAGAGAGTAAATCCTGACGCAACAAACGTGTGCCTCACCTATTTCCCACAACGATCCTCCAAGAAACGCTGAGAACAAATAATTTTCTGTTCTTACCAATTTATTTTTAGCATAAGTATTACCCTAACAGCCTCATACAGCACACTGCTACCATAGCAATACATTACAGTTTGGGACAATAACTATAGAATGCCATCCTATTTTCTTATACATTTTATCTCTGAGAAATCTGTAACTTAGTCATGGCATGACCACAACTGACTTCATGATGGACACCTCTCCCGGTCATGAATTAGCAACACATCTGTTCCAATTCCACTTATTTTTCACGTGGAAAAGTAAAATAACACATATTTTCTGTGTTATATTTTTAGCCTAATGTGATTTAGCAACACAAGACAGCTGCCAGTCTGATGTGATCAGCCCCTCAACAAACCACTAGGCTAGGTGTCTTTGCAGAGCATTTTACATACTTACTACCCTGAAGAAATGAGAGCTGGCAAGATAATCCCATTACACCTCCAGCAGCCCGTACCACATCCCTGGCCCACTGGAGAGCTGACAGAGCAAGGAACCTGCACACTGAACACATGGCTGACCATCCTGCACACACAAAACCTGCTGTAGGAAACACACCAGCCTGCCCTATTAAAATGTCCCACTCGCTGATAGAGGGCTGATAGAGCTGCACAACTTTCCAAGCCACGGAAGGAAGGTAGCTCTGCCGCAGTGCAGTGGGCAAACACTACACAACCATCACTACCTTCCCAAACTTGAGAGCAGTCTCTCAAGTCCAGGTCAGAGCCATCTGCTCAGCAGCTCAGGGAGAGGGTCTCACCCTTGCTTTGGAGTGGCTCTCAGCTGCTTATCAGCTGTATGTGGAGAATGAGTGACATTATCTAATTGCCAAGTAATTTCCATAATTACTGACTGGCACACTCTGTATGCAGGGTTAACATCTTTGCAAACACCTCACGACGCACTTGCTTAGGAAAGAGGGCGAGAAGCTGGCACCATGCTGCTCCACAGCTTATTTACCCAACCATACAGAAACGTTGCAGGAGACAGGTTTGCCACTCCCTGCCCTTCCCTCCCTGACCGCTAATTGCTTGAGGATGGACATTTTTTTGTATTTCAAACCATAATTTTCTCCAATTCCTAGTGCAGAAAGAATAACAGAGTTAAATGAAACCAAGGACAGGCTGGCTTCCTTTGCAAACCTCTACCACTGCAGCCCAGAGCAAGCTTGTGTAAGTCCTGTTACTCCACTTAAGGATGCTGGACAAAATCACACTGTCATCACTGATGGGAAGGGTTTATGGTCCCCTCCGCCTGCCACAATCTTCCATAATCAAAACTATTAATTATGCCATACTTCATGTGGAGGGAAAAACATACATGGGTGACCCAGGATCCATGTCTTTATACACCATGTGAACTCACCCTTGTTCTTGCCTTCACTGTAAAAAAAAGCCAAACAAAACAAAAAACAAAATCTAGTGGTTTGCTT